TAGTGCACAGTAATGATTTATTTTATTTTTTTTCAATTGGGAGATAATATTATTTAGTTTAGCACATCAAGAAAATGTATTGAGAGACAGATGCATCATCTTCATTTTTTTCTCAACATTATTTGATAAATGGTGATGAGTGCATGCAAAATTTTATAATTTAAAAAAAACTACAAAAAAAACTAAAATAGGATTTGTATTTTCTAAAACAGCTTTAAAATGTTTTCCATAAAATTTGTATTATTAGAGTGTATTTGTTGAGATCTATCAAATAAGACTCAAAATGAATACACATAAAAATATGTACGAAAAAAAGGTGAAACAATTTACTTTTATAATGCACTATATATAGCCTCAGAAAAGATGATTAACATCTTTCACATCATGATATATACGTGTATTTGTATATAGTATCTTGATTGATGACATGTGAGTGCATGCAAAATTTTATAATTAAAAAAAAAAACTACCAAAAAAACTAAAATAGGATTTGTATTTTCTAAAACCACTTTTAAAAAAACATGAATTTCAGTCCACATACATACATGTATGTTTTCCATAAAATTTGTATTATTAAAGTGTATTTGTTGAGATCTATCAAATAAGACTCCAAATGAATACACATGAAAATATGTACGAAAAAAAGGTGAAACAATTTACTTTTATAATGCACTGTATATAGCCTCAGAAAAGATGATTAACATCTTTCACATCATGATATATACGTGTATTTGTATACAGTATCTTGATTGATGACATGTTTCACATTTGAAAGATCATTATCCTTCTTTTCATGCATACGTTTATATTCATCATGTAGTACATGAACTGTCCCCATTATAGTTTTTATTTAGTTTAGGATCCCCTACTTTGTAGTATTTCCAGAGCTTTTTAATAGTTAAATTCAGAAATTTATGCAAACAGTTTGGATATTATTTGTACAGCAACTAGGGTTTCTATGTTTGTCCATAACTAAACCTCCGGCCAACACAGTCTAGCCTAGTGGAAAAATGCATTAACTTACATAGGTGGTCTCAAGTTCAAACTCTTGTGACACCTTAGTAGTGTGTGTGTGAGATACCCCTCCCCTTCTAATGTGTAGAACATTTTGATAACCTTTTTCTATGATGGATTCCATAGGCATTAGGGATTTAATTAAGGGTTTCTTTTATCACTTTCTTCTGTGAACCAAATGCAAAGTTCAGTAAACTCTTGACTGCAGTATACGCATATCTTGTCAATCTATTCTATAGCCAGCTACTATACTGTTACTCTGCCTAGCTACTTACAACCACTTGCATGGTAGGGCTGTTATAACAGTAGCAGTTTTGGGAGCACAGTGTGCATAAAGTAACTTGTTTTTTAGTTGGAAAGCTTAAAATAACTTAGACACGATTGTGTGAAAGGTATAGAGAGACAGAGAGAAAGACAACAATGTACTTTACACTTTTATGTCATAGCTGTGCCCGTGACAGATTTTGTATCGCCATATAGGACATAGGCTCCTAGAGTCACTCATCACATTTTACCAAAGTAGAGTTATTTGCCATGCCATGAAATGATGTGTCATGCATGTCCAGATTCTTATCTTTCTCTTGTAATGTATTTTCCAAGTTTGAACAAAATAAGGTAAACATTAGTAGGTAGAGGGTTTGGATTTAAACTCTAATTTAAGTCACATAAAATCATAGCGTAGATATAAACCCAAATAATCACCAGTAGATATCAACACACAAATCATCCTTAGGTTTCTGTGTCCTGGAAATGTATGAAGTGATTGCATTTGGGTTAGAATTTCATTGTTTGATGACAAGGAATACAATCTTTTCTACCCAAGCCAAACAAATAATTCACTGAAACACAAAGTTTACTATATGGACCAAGCCAGATTAAGAATTTGTGAAACAATATCCAGCAATTTCCAATTTGTATCAAATTCTGTCAACCCAATTATATTGCTGAAGTTGTCATAGATTGGTATTTTGTGGCGTGTCATCCTTGTTTCTTCTTCCTCTCGATTGGTACTTTTCGGAAATTAATAGGGTTGGGTGTGCCATCCTTGCTTCTTCTTCCTCTTCCTTTTTTTTTTCAAATCAGTATTTTGTGGAAATCAAGCATTTTTGCTATGTTGAAGGCTGTATTTGTCTTGAAAAACGGATTCGAGATATAATGATGTATCGGCGGATATTTTCATCCTTGCCTATGAACGCAGGCATATTTTGGATCACGTTAAATTCTTCGTGTTCATTTTATTTTATCTTCCGATTCATTCTTGGTTGCTTGAGTTTGATTGATATTCTCATTCATAACTAATCTATCCTAACATAAAATTCGAACCACCTAATGTAATTCTCTATGTTCTTTGTGATTGCCTTGTTTGTTTTTACTCATTTATATTAATTCTCTCGTTCTTTTACTTGTCATAATAAACCCCAAGTCAGGTTTCCCGTGCAGTGTTCTACTACTACTATCAAAACCACGAGCAGTGGCTGTTAATGTTTTAGCAATAGAGGAAACGATGAACTACCATATATTTTCCTACGCCTTTTTGGCTTGCCATATTACAATGTCATGTGATCTCTAATTCTATGAAACACATCTTTTTAGATAACATACACAGGATTTGTTCATTTGAATACATTGGTTTTAATACTCAGCATGCAGACAACCATAGAACGTTACCAGAAGCATACAAAAGACAACCATACCAACAACAAATCCGTTTCCACTGACCAAAATATGCAGGTGAATTCTTGGAAACCATTACCTTTCTTCCAAAATTTGACTGGAGTGAACTGGCCGCACTTTTAGGACCCTGAACTCTAAATAAATCATATGAAAGTGCATTAGATTTTTCTTCTCTTGGTTTTCTGATGAGTTTGCATTTGAATTGTTGTGCAGCACCTGAAGCAAGAATCATCTAGCATGATGAAGCAGATAGAGCTTCTTGAAGTATCAAAACGGTTCATCTGAAACTTTTCTTGTATCTTATAACACGCCGTAGTTGAAATAGTCAGTTTTTTTTTACTCTTGTTTTGCAAAGCGCCTCTTTCTGAACCTGGAATTGCAATTGCTTCAGGAAGCTCTTGGGAGAGGGTCTAGGATCGTGCACTATCGAAGAGCTACAAGAACTTGAGCAACAGTTGGAGAGGAGCGTGAGCAACGTTCGAGCCAGAAAGGTTGATCTTAAACCAAACGTTTGTAACCGTCTCTCATTTTTACTAAATGGATATTTAACCTACTTTTTGTTTTATTGCCTAATACTCCAGACTCAAGTTTTCAAGGAACAGATTGAGCAACTGAGAGAAAAGGTAAACTGCCGCAATAAAAAGTTATAAAAAAATTGTGGGCTGTTTGTTGTTCTATATTCCCAAAGTTTGTGCTTGTGCCAGCTAACTAAATGTGACCCCCTTTTTTTTGGTTGATGAAATTCAGGAGAAAGCCCTAGCAGCTGAAAATGAAAGACTAATTGAGAAGGTAAGTGCCTCCTCTCAATTTCTTAATTTTATATATAAATAAACTTTTTATGTTTTCATTTTCATCCTATGATGTCATGGATATGCATTCAAAGCTAAATTGTTGGACATGACGAATCTGCTTCCAAGAACCGAAAAACTCAATATGTGTTAAACAATTTTTAATTTTTCTTTGTAGTGTGGTAGTATCCAACCAAGGCAAGCACCAAATGAGCAAAGAGAAAACTTAGCCTACACTGAAAGTAGTCCAAGTTCAGATGTTGAGACTGAATTGTTCATTGGACTGCCAGAAAGAAGAGTGAAGCGCTAGCTTCTCCTCAGAGTGCTTAATATTCTAATGCCATGGCTGAGCAGGAATATAAAATTCTATAGTTTTTAGATTGTTTTGTATTCTGCATTAGATTGTTGCTCCGCTAAATTGCTGCATTGGAGCTTTGCAAGCAATAAGACTGTGTTGTAATAGGGATCATATTAATTGTCTTATCTTGAAATGATTGTGATGCATATATATATATATGACCACGAAATACTATTGGACTATCTCATCTTGATGTATCTTATTTTTCGGAAATAAAATTCTCCAGTGTTATTTCCTGAGCCTTTATGCTTGCATGAAATGCAGAGCATCTTAGCTGGCAGTAGTCTTTAAATATCATGTTCTTCAGAGTCTAATAGTTATGTGTAACATATTCTTAGTTTGAAAGTACACCCCTCTGCCTCTTTATTTTTTTCGTTTTTGTTTATATACAACCGATATTCGGGTTGGGGAATCTCACATATGATCTCGGTTGCAATTATAAATGCTTTGAAACTATTTGAGGTATAAGGCCCTTGCTGTCTCTTTGTTTGAAGCAAACGAGAGAAATGATTTTAAATGATTAAAAAAGATGGAAATAATTTATGTAATAGAACAGATTGCAGCTTGCTACATCCATGTGAAGAAAAGAAAGTACCCAATGTTGGGGAGATATAAGCCAATTAGTACTAGCAGAGGCATGGAAAGCCAAAAAGTCATGAGTGCACCCATGGCATGAGATAGGGTGGGGGTGCGAAGGGTAAATCCTAGACTCGATTCACCCGAAAAAAACTCATGAGCCACCTTATTACATGCCCAAACTCTCCTCCTAAGAGCACTTCCACTAGTTTGCCCTTTGCCATGGCAAGGGTTGGCTAGGGCAGCTACTATTCACGTGAATAGTGACTGCCCTTGCAAAAGGTTGTGGTGTTTTCATCCATTGCCATCGCAACAACTATTCACATGAGATATGAGAAGAGAAATTTGTATAGAGTTTTGGTATGGGAAGTGAAAACTATGACTAAGTATTTATTTATTTATTTTTTAAATCTGAATTTTTTATATATTTTTTGTAGATTTTTTTCATTTTTTATTTTATTTTTTTGTTGCTAACGTTATCGCTGACGTCAGAAAACCCAGGCTTGAACTCGGACTCATCTTGCTTGAGGGCTGGCCTGGTTTCGTGGGCTCCAGCAGTTGCCTTGGCCAGCCCTTGCTGTTGGAAGCGGTTTTTGGGCCTAAACCACCCCCAACCCCTGTTGTTGGAACTGCTATAATGTTCATTTGTTCATAAAAAATGACACCCCAACTTTGTGATATCATGAATGATAGCTTCAACATTATGTGCAGCACCACCAGAAGCTTAGCATTAGGGTCCACCTCCAAGCACAATCATCCCTCAAGCCTGGTTTCTTTAGCATGGAAAGCAATTTATTTTAAAAGAATAAATCTTTTTTCTTTTTTTTTCTGCTTTTTTCATTTCTCAACCCCCCCCCCCCCCCCCTCCTGTTTTTGTGTAAGAATATATGATCCTCTCAATCAGTGGTTTGGTGAAGAAATTGGTCGACAGCTTCTTTTGTGGGCAGTGCAGGTACAGCTCCTTTCTTTTGCACCGTGAGAGCACCACATGCATTGGCAAACAAGAGAGCTTCTCTCAACCTTTTTTCATCCTGAAGAAGAAAAATCAAGATTTCAATACCACACTGACATTCTAACAAGTCGTATCGTTGGTTTGATACCGAAGCCAGTGGCATATGACTCAAGATTCAAGTCATACAAGGTGACAAATTACATACCTTGTACAGATTTAGGTCTGAACCCCAGCTGTTGAGTATGGCACCGACAAACGAATCACCGGCACCAGTAGTGTCAACAGCATCAGCTTTGATGCCTTCAACCCTACCCTTAAATTCCTAAACCACAGTAAACAAGGGATCAATAAAAACAAATTAACAGCAAATACAAACAATGAGAAAAGATGCCAAAACGCCTAATGTTTTGATTTGACAGTGAATAGAAGGTTTAAGATCAATGTTAGCATCAAAACGTGGATGTTTACCTTTGTATAGTATCTGCAGCCTGCTGCTCCTTCAGTTACTACCAGAAGCTTCAGATTGGGGTGATAAAGTTTTTTCATGACCACATCATCATCATAAGGATCATCACCTCCAGTCAAGAACTCAATTTCTTCCTCACTTATCTGCAATTTTGCAAATATTATTCGCCATATCTTAGTTATATTATTTGTTCGAGACAAAAACATTATCAATATAATGTGATAGGGTGGTTTTTGGAGAATGCACCTTAATAATGTCAGCTTGGTTCCATATGCTCATAATGCCTTGCTGAGCAGCCTCTGCAGATGGCCACAGTGGCAATCTCAAGTTTGGATCGTAAGAGAGGATACAACCAGCCTTTTTGGCAATGTCCATTGCAGCAAGATGAGCTGATCTGCATGGTTCCTCGATCAAACTAATCGATCCATAGTGAAAAATGCCAGCCTGCGTCAGTCAATATTGTCAGGAACTGAAGAAGAAAATGACTATAAGCTATAAACTTTCATCAAAGAGAATATAGAAGCTACCTTTTTTATTAGATTCACATCAAGTTCTTTCTCATGAAGAAGCTTATCAGCACTTGGGTTGCGGTAGAACATGAATTCACGTTCCCCGTCACTTCTGAGCGTAACAAATGCCAATGCAGTCCTTGCATTTGGGTCAAAACGCATGCCGGAATTGTCCACGTTGTTTTCTTTCAGAATATCAGCCAACATGTATCCAAATTCATCTTTACCAACCTGAGATGCAGAACGTAGAGACTTTACTGTTATAAACAGACTCACATGATAGATTAGAATCAGAGAAGAATATGATGTAAACCAAAATGTTCATAAAACTAGTGATAAAACAATGAAGCTGAAAATTAATATTTATCTTGCATGCTTAGAAAAAAGCACCTTGCCCATAAAAGCTGCTGAGCCTCCTAATCTTGATATTCCAACTGCAACATTAGCAGGAGCTCCACCAGCAGCTTTTTTGAAACCTTCTGCATCTGCAAGAGAAACTCCAGCAGTAATTGGGACGAAATCGATCAACATCTCCCCAAAGCAAACAATCAGTGCTTTTTTCTCTTGGGTGCTCCTTTTCTTAAAAGAAAATGATTTAGATGAACCTGCATGGGACCATTTGCTTAAGAGTTAAAGATCAATATTGATAGAAGTACCAAATTCGTGACAGCAAGTTACTAATACTAATCTGAAACTGCAAAATGGTAATGCATGAATGAAACTTGTTCAGATTGGGAAGCTCATCAGCACAAAAATTCTCCTGAGAGAGTTAAAATTCTTATCAGTATCCAATCATTGACCTCAAAAATCCAATTGGGTACAAATGAAACTTTAAAAAAAAACCCCAGGAAGAAGAAAAAAGATGATGAGAATAAAACTGTTTCAAACTCAAGAATTCCCACTAATAACACAGAATTGAAAGGTGCAATGAATTATTAATACCAGCAACGGAGGAGGAACTCCTAACAAACTTGAAGCTACCCTTTTTGGATCGCTCAAGTGTCACTGGGAAGCAGCTGCAACCTGTTGGGGCCATTATAATGAATTAATTCTACAGGAACTGATCAAGTTGTTGTTTTGATTTTGATTGTGACCGAACGTTGAATTGAGAGTTGAAAAACGCCAATCAACGTTGGTTTTTGACAAAATCAAAACCTAACTCAACCCTGTTCACAATCAGATTAAAACAAAGAGTTTATATATTGCACATTGGTTTTGTGTTCCACCACCACCATGGCCTGCTCTGCTATTATTAGAATGCTTCCATATCTCCAACGACTTTCTCTATTTTTGAGCTAATTTTAGCTGAAATAACTAGAAACTCATTTCTAGTTAATAATTTTGCCAAGTGACTGCTTCAACCACGGTCCCTATTTTAGATATTCATGAGGTTTATTTTTTGGTTGGTTGTATTTTGAAAGCAAAATATGGGTTGGCTGCAGCAGAATCTCAGCTTAATTTTTCTTTCATTTTGTGTTCTTTGCTGTTGTTTTGTTAAACAGAATAGGAGTTTATGTTTTGACCCAGTCTTGCCAAGGGAAACCTGCTGTCAGCTAAATTCTTTGTAAGAAGATTATCAAATTGAACCTGCATTGATCTTGGCCAGTGTAGGCCTTATTCTTTAACATAATTTTTTTTTGAGTTTCTTAATCTTGCTAACATATAGAAAATTTTCTAGGTTCGTTAGAATTGGAGTATATAAATATTATATTATATTAATTTGGTGTATGGAAAGTTAAAATTGGAGTGCAAATCATATCCCTTTAAAAAATAGTTAGACAAAAACAAAATATATATATATATATATATAATTTCTCAAAAATATAATTGCAACCGAGAATGTCTCCTTATGACACAAACTTATATATCACAGAATTTCTATTTAAACCCCACACTTCTCTTTGTTCACCCCAATACTTAAATAATTAAGTTGTAAGTTTTATTATTGTGTAAAAAGACAAAAAAAATGTCATCCAACTTAATAATTAACCCTAGTACATCAATATATACACCCCACACACCCCAAGTGTTGGAATTCCAGTTACAGTTCTTGGAGAGAGGTAAAGCTGTTCTCTTTCTCTAGAAAAATTTCGGGTTTGAGGTTCCATTTGTTTGTGTTTTTTTCTGCTGGGAACAAAAAAAATTGTGGGGTTTAAATAGAAAATCTCTTTTATTTCTTATTTTTTTCAATTTGGGGTGTATTTAAGGGTAGTTTGGGAAGATAGTGAGTTTTCTTAGAAATTGTGAAAATTTAAATTAAAAGATGGGGTGAACTTAGAACATGAGGTGAACTAAGAGAAGTGTGAGGTTTAAATAGAAAATCTCAAGAATAGGGTTATTTCAGAAGACAATCAAGTTCTTCTCCAACATATTAAGTGATGAGTGTCGTAGACAAAAAAAGATAAGGGGACGCATGCTTTGCTCTAATACATTAAGTAATTGAAAAACATAGTACTCATGAAAATTTGTTGTTTCATGAGTAATTAAAAATCAACATTTCCCTCAAAAAATAAAAGAAAAATCAACATTTACTCAAAACACCCTATCATATTCCCGAACCACCTTTATAATTGTTTTATTTTATTTCCAACTTAAGGAGAAAAAAAAAAAGGATTTTCTGAACTGTATTGGATTTGATTTATCGAACTTCAAAGCCCACTCGATCAAAAAAACAATAAATAAAAAAACTTAAAAGCCCACCTGGTGTCGAAGGCCCTATTGAATGGTCCTTCTCCTTAACAAGAATTCTACTGGGCTTACAGAGTAACAGAGGTCCAAACTGATATATCAATTCGACGAGCGAGGGCTCAAATAATACAATCGAATTAACCTTCCGTTTGAATAGAGGAAAAATAACTCGGAATTTAGTTTTAAAAAATGTAAAACGGATCCAATCTCCACAAATTACAATTCTAATATAACAGTGGACAAAAGAAGCAATTCAATAAACAAATTTTAGAAAACAAATTGATGAAAGAAAAAACGAAATATATAGCAATCTGAAAGCGAGTAAATATATAAATGTGGAGAGCATTACAATTCCAAAAACAAAACAATATATGTAGGGCAACCATAGGGCCATATATTCTTGCAAGTACATCAGAAGATATATATGAAGTTGCAGATCCCAGTACAATGAAGCCATCCATATAGACAATCATAAATATATATATAAATTATCCTTTATTTTTCATATTGATCAGACTTTCAAAGAACCCATCCCTGGATGAAGTTGGTCTCACAAGCCATGCTCTTCGAAATTGAAGGCCCCTCAGCAGGAAGATACTGATGGTACCTGTTTGAACAACAACAACTATCATTTCAGTTATAATTGTTGACTCGCTTTTTTCTGAAGTTTTTTTCTGAAAAAAAAAAAAACCGAAAGAGAATTAAACGAGTTTACCCTATTTGCAAGACAGGTTCATGAGGTTGGCAGTCCATGGGGTTGGTTTGGGAAGAATGCAAAGAAAAGCTGCTACTTCCAGCAGCTGCATTCGAGCTCCACATGTTTTGGATGGCTTTAAGATTTTGTCCTTCTGTCTCCAGCTGAAATCATCAAAGCAAGAAGAAAAATACTAAATATACATGTTTCAACTGGTTTTAACAAGAAAAATATCAGTCATGTATATTACCTTGACCCTCAGCTGCTTGTTAAGATCTCCAAGGTGACGCTCCTGCCATGTTCAATTAGAAACCATGATCACCACAAAGGACGTCGGATTAGATGCTAATCATGACAATTTTGAACGCAAAACTTTACCCGAAAATGAAAGAAAAAGAAAAGGAGAACAAATTCGTGTTTGAAATATCTTATTGTTCCAGCCTAGCTAGTAGAATTTTTATGTGTTCATCATGAGATTGGTCTGTTTATTTTTAGAAGTAAGAATTCTTGTACAATACAGTTAACTTTGTATAAATTATATAAAATTATACCTTTTTGCGCAGGTCCTCCATTTGTTCAATCATAAGCTGTGTCTACAACCAAGAACAACCCGAATGTATAAAATATCTCAAAGTCGAATTATATTTTATTAATTCATAACTAGTTAGTTTAACATTGTGAACTTAATATATATATCACATGCAATTACACTCTTAATTACCTTCCTTTGCCTGGCCTGTGCAAGAGCTCCTTCAAGTTGTTTTTCAAGATTTTGCAACTCCTTCACATTCAGTGGTCCGAGATCTTCCCCAAGCAATTGCCTTGATTAAAAAACATAGCACCAAAAAAAAAAAAAAACCAAGGTTAATTAGCATATATATATATTATACAGTGATGCTAGCTATCAGTTTTTACTTAATTATGGATATAAGTATAATTATTGATTTCTAATCAGTTGCAGCATAACCTTTGAGTGCTCAGAAGGGATTCATATTTAGCCTTCAGTTTTGTGACTTCTTGATACCAGCTCTGCATGATCAACAGCCAAAAACAAGAATTAAGAATGCTTTATGAAGAATCATTAAGAAAAACATATATGCATCAAATTAATTAGCTACGTGAAATCGATATGGTTAAAGGAAATTTTGACAAAGAGTCAAAATTGGTATATATAATAACCTGTGCTTGACGTTCAATGCTGTTTTCCTCAGGATTGAAGCAGGAATGTTGGTATCGTTCGAGGGTTTTGGCCATACTGCCGAGAGAAAGAATAAGCAAAAAAGTGATGAGTTTTGAGCTTATAGCTAGATTTATAGCAACTTGAATCAAAGAAATTTACCAAACATCTAAGAGAACAGTGGAGATATGAGGCCAACAAAGTAGCCCTAGCTAGCACAAGTTCTGTTGAGCCAAGTTACAAGCATTTCATGTACATATATTCTAAGAAATTAAATGTTTTGTGCTGATTATGTAAGGTAACATATGATATATGGTAACCAAACAATGTAACATATGATAAATTGGGAAAGAATGTGACAAAAAATAAATATATTGGGTACTCCAACTTTAATGTGGTACTAGAGCAGAAAATTTATTTACATAATTACCCATGAATCAAATTAAAGAACTTCAAATTGGAACAAAGAAATATTAAATAAGTAGAAGTTACACAAGTGATTATGGTAAAGAAAGAACTTTTCAAGAAATTTGCAGCAAATTAAATATTGGACTAGCCATTTCTTTGAGCACAATGGTTAAAAACAAAGAATGAATCTCTCTCTCTCTCTCTCTCTCTCTCTCTCTCTCTCTCTCTCATACACAAATGAGTCCATGACTCACAGATCTTCGGTTAATCACCATAAAATACATGGTCAAGTATTTTGATTAATAGGCAACATGGTCTGTACTAATTTAAACAAGTGTTGCAGCTTTATAGATATACTTGAATCTTTTTTGGCTTTCATTTTAGTGAAGCATTTTAGAATCCAGTTTCAGACATGATTTTCAGAAGGTACGCAAAACTCAAAAGAAATAATAAACTTTTGAAACCAAAAAAGGAATTTTTGCTCTGCAATATATGGTTTATGACATTATTTTGTACAGAAAAGTAAGGGAAACACTAAACAGGAAAGGCATACCTATAAACTACTGGACTGATGATATCAACAGATATGATTCAGATTGCAGGCAAACCTTGACACATGAAAGGCTTTCAGAGAGAGAGAGAGAGAGAGAGAGAGAGAGAGAGAGGAATTTCACCAAAGTAGCAAAACAAAACAAAATTTACTGGGGGAACTGGGATACATTGATTAACATGGAAACATGCATCATCAGGCTATATGCAGTAGAAGATAAATCATTTAATGTACCATTCACCAATATGGAACATACAATTTGAAAGTTGGACTGAGATCCAGTGTGTCAAACCAAAATCCTTGACTACCAGTTCGTGCTAAATCAACCTGGGATTCACTTTCCAGGAAAAGGCAATTTTAGGTAACACCTTTTCTGAAAAATCTCTGGTTCAAAACTTAATACTTATCTGGACCAAAACCATGACTTTACCAAAGAAAATGAGCAACCCTAGTTTTTTTAAATAAAAATAAAAATAAAAATAAATTACCATAGATCTGAAGGACGAAAGATATGAAGAACAAGATTTCATCTCTGGAGCTTCTAATACTTGATTTGCCACAGCCTCATTGGAAGTTTTTATAGGGAAAGAGAGAATCCAAATGAACCTAGGGATCAAAAGATGAAACAAAGAGGCCAGTATATACATCTGGGGATATGGGTGTGTTTATAGAGGGAGAAAGGGACTGTACTAAAACCAAAAGATCATAGGCTTTAAAGAAATGAGGACAAGTTTTGATAGTCATTGGATACTGAGAGAGAGGGAGAGAGTGTGTGTCTGTGTGTATGTGTGTGTGTGCTAAAGTGTTTGATTGCTCCTCCCACTTCAGAGAGAGAGAGAAAAAAAGGGCAGTTCTTGCACAGAGGTACAAGAGGAGTTTCCTAGTCAGGCTGCTGGTTGGTATTTAAACCACATGATATGATGAGAACTTGTTCTCATATATATGAAACAACAGGAAAAAAAGGAACCACATCCATATAACCAGAAGAGCAAGCTAGAGGGCTGAAGAGAGAGAGAGAGAGAGATGATCATGAAACGTGTCGATCTGTGAGTGGTGAAGCTGGTAATGATCTCTCTTATACATAGAGATGCAGAAAAACCTTCTTTGCTTGATCCAAAAATCGTTATAGAGCACAAGGAGTACCAGAAAAGATATTGCTTAGGCAGGGTGAGATGTCAGAGACATGTAATAACATAAGACAGCACAGAAATCTAAAAGCTATAGAACAAAATAAAGGGAAAACAAAAGTTAAATCTTTGAGAGTGTGAGAAGCAGAAGAAGAAGGATGCTTGTAGTTTTCAATTAAAAACAACAAATCTGAACCCATAAATCCCAAAAGAAATTTAAAAAATATATATATGTAACAAAGGAATGAACTTTTTTGAGAGAAACAAATGCAAACCAATGCACCTTGAATAAAAAAGTGTGTACACAAAAGAACAAGGAAATCTAAGAAATACCCCATTACCACACAACCAAAAAGATAAGCAAAGAAATAGTTTTTCTTTTGAGAGAGAGAGAGAGAGAGAGAGAGAGAGAGCAATCTTACCCAGCACTTCCAAACTCATAGAGCTTGCCACGGCTAGAGAAGATGATAAGGGCAACCTCAGCATCACAAAGCACAGAGAGTTCATAGGCTTTCTTGAGCAAACCATTTCTTCTCTTTGAGAAAGTCACCTGCCTGTTGATCTTGTTCTCTATTCTCTTCAGCTCCACTCTCCCCCTCCCCATATTACCTCAATATTAACCTCTTCAATTCTTCTTCTTTTAACAATTAAGAGATTATCTGAGATATTGTATTTATGTGTGTCTATTTGTTATTCCTATATATATATATATATATATATTTATATGTATATATATATATTCCTCTTCTTTTTATGTCCTCTGTAGGAGATGGGATTGTTGGAGCTTACACAAAAATGGAGGATTCTGTGTGAGAGAAGTGGGAGTTCAGAGGGGCCTTTGCTTATATAGAAATGGGATGTATGCTTTAGCAGAGAGAGAGAGAGAGGGGGCACATGTACCAATTCTGTGTGATCTTCTAATAATATTACAACAAAATGGAAACCCAGTAATTTTTTTTTGCTTATTCTCTTTTTCTTTTCTTTGTAATTTTAAGCAAATTATAAGCTTTGGTGACCTCATCAAGGTTGCCTTAAGTGTTAGGGCAACAAATGAATAATAATGAAACCCACGCGCCCCTACTTCACTCGTTTCCATGTGGAGGAGAGCTAAGCAGTTTAGCTAGCTAGGCATGGATTATCACATTCACATCGCTTTGGGCCAACAATGTTACATGAAAAGTACCGGAACAAGAAAATTTCGTCTTGGGGTTAGAGTACTCCCCAAGGCCTAACCCTAATTAGTGCAAAAAGAAGAAAATTTTATTTATTTATTTTCAATTTTGTATTCTCACTCTCTCATCATGGAGTATGAGGTCTTAGAAAATCTACAGACTCTCGTACAGAATTTGAATATGAAATTACCTACTGAATTTGCATGTTGCCTCATGCTAGACCACATTACTTATACCATTAGGCCCAAGATGTGCATTTTGTAAGTTGGAGGATAAAATATATTCTTGAATAGCGGAACGGAATAGTAAATTTTCATAGGCGTCCGAGAGAGCTACTTTTTTCTTTTCATCTATAATGTATTAATGTGTGTGTGAATGATTAGCTTTGATTTGGCAGATGGGTGAAGCGGGCCAATTTTAACTGAAGCGGGGTGGGATGAGCTAATTTCCACTGTATAGTAAAACTCTTAAAAATTAGCACAAAATTTCTATTTTTCCAAAAACTTGCACTCGATTATAGCGTGCATTTGTTTTCTAAAGCGTAGTTGCGCCTATAACCTATATAGGTGAATATAACAAATTAAGATGAGTTATGAGTTTGTGTATAACTTCCACGCAAAATAATAAGACTCTCGTCCATGAACTTTATTCAATCCAAATATGGATGTTGTTGAATTGAAGTTTAATGATTGAAAATACTCAATCATTGTGTATATTAAGCCTAAACAATCTTTAAGTTGAATGAAAAGTACTCATTAGACTACGATCAATTAAAATGTATATCTCCTTGCACTCAAGTTCAATCTCTCTTTTTGCATATGTGCGTGTATATATATATAATCCAATTTCGAGAACAACAATCAAAGAAAACCAAAACAGAAAAAGAGTATGAAATGAGATTACTCGAAGTTTGTGTATTAATTCTGAAACATATGCGCAGACACGTTAGGCTTACTGGATGGTTTAAAGCTCAAAAGCCTGCTATGAAGCCAAGCTCTGGCACTTGATTTAAGGTCTATAATTAGAATGATGGGCTTAATTAAAGAGAAATATTCTACACCAGATAAAGAAATTAGCCATTTAACGTCGAATAATCTGAGGTAATTACTTTTTAGGCTTGAGGTTTGTTGGATGAATGCGACCCAAAAATAAATTGTCGGATGAAAATTAGGGACAGATAATAGGAAGATATTGGCTGAAGAAAAGCTCAATAACATAAACATAACCAAAATGATGAACAAGTATGACGTGTCACAAATGCGAGTTGGCCGTAGAGTTTGTTAGTTTACCTTTATAATTAGTTGGTAATTCGATTACAGTCCAATCAGCTTTTTGTTTTTTGTGAAATATTTTTTTTGTCACTGGATTTATTTTTTGGTTTCCCAAGGTATCCCCAGGCATGGCCCAAGCCTAATCCTCCGAGGTATTGTCGAGCGCATATGCGGGGACCTGTCCCAAGAAAGTTTTCTGTATCCACAAGGGCTTGAACCCGAGACCACTTGCTTAAGTGACCAGAACCCCTTCCACTCTGACCAACCCTCATTGGTACTGGATTTATTTTAGTCCCTGTATTTAGCAATTATTTTTTTTGTCACTGAATCTATCTTGGTACTGAATACTCCCTCCTTCAATATTACTTGTATATATATAAATTAAAATATTCATTAATCAATTAAAACTTAATAAAAATTATATAATTTTTTTTCAAAAGCTTAAAAACTCATTTTAATAATATAAATAAGATTAATTTTTTTTAGGATCTTTCTTATTACGAGGTGCGATAATATACCAAACTCACACACACTACACATATGCTAAGGACTCAAACCCATGATAATTTGTCCTTTGGAATAAAATGAGGTTACATCAATCATGAAGGTTGCTTGAATATTTTTAAGGGAAATAAATTTTGTTGGGCACATTTCAAAAACTGCCCTACTATTGGGTAAATTCCATGAATGTGTATGATTGGCCATTTCTATACGATGGGGACTTGAATTTCTACATTCAGCCCTAAATCTGAAAATTTTGGTTGTCTTTCTCTCTTCTTTGTGAAATACCATTCATGGAACTCTTGGGTTGCTGAGCTGTCAGCATCACAGTCCATTAATGCCTAATGGTCTTGGAGGAGCAATAATAGAAATGGTTATAGTTGGGTATTTGAATTATAGTGACCTGCAAAATTTGATTCTATATTTGTAGTGGGGTTAAAAGGTCCTTTTCATTTAGCATGTGAGGTTTGAATTTGATGGATTTGAACAAAATAATGAAATATTATTCCTTTTATTTATAGTACACATGCACTTGTCTCAATGGGAAATTGGATGTAAGTATGAGATGAGTGGCAAAATTAGGGATTACCCAAGAACTCAAAAAGGATTCTTCTTAATGAGAAACATAAAATCAAGCATAATTAGAAACTTTATATACAAAGACGAATTGAGAGACGTGTATATGGTTGAAAGGGGAAGACCAAAAGAAACCCATGATTAATCTGATAGGGAACTTTCCACGAAACTAAACAGTATTTTGTACTTGTTTGTTAAGACATGACTCCGTATATATACGTGTCAGATTAGGATTTGTTCGATGTCAATTATGTATTTAGCAATAGAAATACTTGTAGTTATTCATTAATCATGCTGGATGTAAGTATGAGATGAGTGGCAAAATTAGGGATTACCCAAGAACTCAAAAAGGATTCTTCTTAATGAGAAACATAAAATCAAGCATAATTAGAAACTTTATATACAAAGACGAATTGAGAGACGTGTATATGGTTGAAAGGGGAAGACCAAAAGAAACCCATGATTAATCTGATAGGGAACTTTCCACGAAACCAAACAGTATTTTGTACTTGTTTGTTAAGACATGACTCCGTATATATACGTGTCAGATAAGGATTTGTTCGATGTCAATTATGTATTTAGCAATAGAAATACTTGTAGTTATTCATTAATCATGCTTTATTTTGTATAATTAGAGATAACTAACTTGTACCTTACGTTCAAGTAGGTAAGTTTGTGTTTGGAAAGTAAGAACAATGAGTAGGGTTATGCACTTTTCTGAACAGTTAAATCAACGTTGATATGTCATACTTACTTAGTTGTATGGTATAATTTTCGGTCAAAGTGAATTCTGAATTAAAAGTTGTACGAATTAACCATTTAAAATATAATATATTTGCAAGTTGTTTGTAGTTCAAGTGATTAAGAGTATTATTCTCGATTCTCATTTTTTTCAATATCGCTTGTATATAAAATTAAAAAAAATCATATTTAAATGTATGGTATGGTAGTATTTTCGATTAAGTGAATCTTGAATTAGAAGTTATTATACATTTATTTGTGGTTAAATGGAGGGAGAAAAGGGTAAAACAAATGAAATTGCTAAAGGCCATAATGGAAGGTACAGCCTGATTATGATGGCCTTTCTTTTCAGTCTCCACTTTCCAGCATGCCCGCTGTTTACTGTCATCTCCAGTTGAATTTGGGCACACAAATTTTAGGTTCATTTTTCAACCATTTATTTTATCACTGACCCATTTACCCAATTGATAAATCATAAATTGGATTTACTTTCATTGTTGACCCAAAAAAATATATCATATGTAGATTCTGTTGCAGGCAAGACTACCTTTTCCACACTGGACTCTCTCATCTATATATTTCTCTGACTCAAGTGTGAGAGATTAATTTCCTTTGTTTCTTTATTATTTTTTATTTTTGTTTTATCACTAATCAAAAGTGTTATAGAGAGCTGTTGTACGGGTAGGCGCTCAACGAATTGCTAATTGTTGATGCATGTAATGCTCTTAACGCATTAATGATTTTAATTCGTTCATGAGTGTCTGGGCAACTGACCATAGCATTCTTTTCTTGTACAAACAAGTAATGATTTATGGAATTTAAACTTTAAGGTTGGCTATCCGGGTTGATATTACAAACTTACCACAACTATATGTAATATTACCATTATGGAAACAATAATTTCAGTTTAGTAATAACATAATTTTCAATTTTGAAGAATTAATTCCAATGTGTTTGGTAATCCGGGAAAGTAAAAGAATATATTTTTGGATAATGGGCTGTATTGTTGAGAAGGATGTAAAGCTAGCAACTATTCTTTCCAAAATCACAGTGGACAGAAGGTAATAATTCCAGTACACTAAATAAAAGAAGTGAAACCAGACTGGTTAGGAGAACTTAGTCATACGCTCTGCATCGAGTACTGGAAGACTGTTTTGGTATAGAGCCATTGTTTTGGTCAAAAAACGCAACACCCATTAATGTAGTGTAGGTACCATTATTTTGGACTAAGGTGACAAACAATAAAAGAACTTTCAACATCATGTACCATTTGAATATCTATGTGTGAAAAATGCTATGCACATGTGATTTTGGGTGTAGGGATGGCAAAAATCGATGTTGGGCTGGATCCACGCCTCTAACAGCGGAAGATTTCGGAAGTTTGATCACACTTAAACAACTCTTAAGAGAAAGATTTGAAGCTTCAATTTTATATTATGATTTTGTAGATATCAAAATTTTGATATCTATGAATATAACTCATAACATGAAATACAATGGATATAGATGACATGAAATCATGAATATAACTCATAACACTGCAATCTTTAACATCAATGGATCTCTCTCATATTCAGAAGTCAGCAATAATGCTTGGCCAAGTTTGTTTCCAAGTCATCACTACCATTTTT